GGGGTGCAAGACGGAATTCACTCCTACCCACTTTTAGGGATAGAAGAAAGGTAGTTCCCTTAAGCACTGACTCTAGGTCTTGAACAAGGGGCCCCACCCTCTCATTGGCCTGAGAGGGATTCGGTTTACTGGTTGGACCACAAACCAATTGTTCATTAGAGGATCAGTGAGACATAAGGAACAAGAAGTAACTTCAGGGGTAAAATGGTAAATTGATCCAGCTCTAGTTACGAACAACCTGTGAAGGATCGACTTACTAATCATGGTTATATCAGATGGACAGAAATATATCTATAGTGAGGGGAGTGCAACTACTAGGCTATAGTGAAGTGTCTTAGTAGTTAACGAATGTTGGTTAACCAGGTTAATGAGTTTAATCGGTTAATCTTGATCGTTGGAGCCCATGATCTATAGGTCCATTAGGTCCCTCTGCTAGCTCATATCGGACTAAACCATAGAACAGTGTGACGAGTGAGTTCGAAGTGTTCGAATTCAAATTAGGGAATATGCGTTACATATATACGATATATTTAACCGCAATTTTGTTTTATTTACGAATTAAACGAAAAGAGAGAATCTGAGATATTTAAATAAGATTTAAAAATCTTAATCAATTATGTGTCGGAATTGATTGAGATTGGCATTTGAATTAATATTAAATATTAATTAAATAGTTTAATTAATCATTTAATGTTACTTTAATTTGAAATTCATTATTCAAATTAATTGTTGAATTAAAATGAAGAAAGTCAAAATGTTGACTTTCATCTAATGGAAAAATCCATGTTGGTGGAATTTTGAGGTGCCAAAATTTGGTTTAATCAAACTTGCATCTTTGCCAAATAAACCCCACAAGTTTGAGTGGAATTTTGAGTGTCAAAATTTGGTTAACTCAAACATGCATGCTTGCCACATAATCCCAAACATTTGAGTGGAATTTTAAGTGTCAAAATTTGGTGATCTCAAGTTTGCATGAACATGCAAACTTGACTCTTTAAATAGAGTGATCATGATACTTGGAAAAAAATTTCTTCATCTTGATGAAAAACTTTGAGAAAAACCTCTCACAAACACTCTCTTTCACATATACAAAATCCCTCCCAAGTTTAGTCATTCACCGGATTCCACAATCCCGTTCTAAGGCCGGAGGATAGTGGAGAAGACACTAGTGGTGGTTCGAAACCGGTTCGTGAGGCAAAAGGAGTTTGAACTACAAAAGGTTAGTATTTAAACTCATTAAGTTTTAATACTTATGAACATGCTAGTTATTTACAATAATTGATGTTCTAAAAGTGCCTAAGATCCAAATTGCTTTCGCATGTGTTATATTCACACCATCAAACATCTGTCTGCGATTTCATACGTTTCATATTCTCATACATTTGAACAGTTACGAAATGATAGATGTACGATATGATATGCAAATGTTATGTTATATGTGATGAAATGATATGTTAAGATAAGATATGTTTGATGACCTGCCCGTGATATGATATGTGAATTTTATGATATGGTATGATATGTGCATAATATGATATGATATGTTAGAAGACATGATAAGTCTTTGATATGACATATGTTCAACATGAATGATATATGATATGATTGATATCTAATATGATGAATTGGCATAATGCACGACCTCGATATACACATGAAAAGCTATGATAAAATGATATGATATAAAGGAAAATACAAGAGGTTGTTATACATTCTAACGAAAGGAAAAATATTGAGACCTCATGTATCCTTGTGTGTTCATCCATCGAGGGATACCCCTTCTTCTTTTACGATGGTACGGATGCATACACTACGAGATAGGAAAACGATCATTATGCTTATCATAATGTTGTGACGGTCGATACTCCTAACGGGTGTCCTGCATCAATAGCTCCAAGAGAATGTTCGCCCGACAAGAAAGGGATTGTAGGAAGACGAAAGGGAAAGCCCAAAGAGAACAATATCTGCTAACGGTGGATTTAGGCCATTACAGGGATCCAGGAGGTGTGCGAACCAACTGGTGGGTCCATACTCACACGTATGGACCGTTTTTAGAATAGTAAATATACATCCAATTACCCGCTTAGGATCGTTATCTAATGAATATAGACTGATATGATAGGTCTCACTTATGATTGTATGTGCTTGCATCTAACCCCAATAGGGGGTCACTTGATGAATATTTTTTTTACAATACTTAAGTCATCTACCACTCTTATTTTTCAAGGTAAAGGCAAGGCTCTGGCTGACCATGGCACCACAGCCCAAGAAACCATGACACATGCATAGGATAGTTTGCAATTTGAATTTCATAGATTATAGGTTATTATATAGGTTAGATTTGCGTTTAATTTCGCAGCAAGGTTAGTACAGAGCACTTTTACATTATGTTATTTTAATTTTTTTTGTTATTTATTTAAAGGCCTCGTAGAAAATATGTAAGTCTATGACTATAGTTTTATGATAAATATTGAATGAAGTATTTCTATATAAAATGTCTATGATATGTATATAGTTTTATGACTTTAAGTGATATGGAATCAATCCAAGGAAAAGTATGGAATGAATTACCTTGATGATCAAGATTAAGAGTAAAGAAAACTCGTTCCTAAACTCGTGATTTGAACCATTCTATAAGAGGTTTGATCAACACCACTTGAATAACTTTAGCATGCAAGTTCTAAACACAAAAATTTGTAAAGAAAAAACATACTCTCAACAAACCTAGATTATGTGTGGAAAAAAAAAACATCCACATATACATGAGTTGAATTAAATAGAAATGGGCCTCAAATGTGGGCCTTGGTGTCTTAGCCTCAATTTGGTGAAGAGTTATAGAAACACGTAGTAGCAAAAAAGATAAGCCCAATACAAAGGTTCCATCGACTACATAGAAAATTAAACATTTTCAACCACACGAGCAAAGGGTCGTTGTTTCTTGTTCGATGATGATTTGGGTGCACGAGCATACCTGTGAGTCATTGATTTTTTTGCAATTGTAACGAAAATTCGTGACAAACAACACTTTACTAGAACGAGTAGCCAGCTTCAGATAACACGTCCAGGACAAACACATCTAATATACGGCACAAACAACATGTCGTGGATAAGTATGACTGTGAATGAGACTATGTGCACAACGCTGTGACTTTTTTGAAGCAAAGAAAAACTCAGTTTCTCAATTCCTCAGCCTGTCTCGAAAATCAAAATAATACTTTGGAATATAACATGACTCGTTGCTCCTTAAATCTTTTGATCGTTGTCGATGAAGGGGTCGTTTGATTATGGTAAGCGAGATCTTGTTATCCTTTTTTCTTTTTTTTAGGGGCTTACTTCATTGTTCCATCCCCCTTGCTTTTGTTCTAGAAACTTTGTATAACAACACAATTAAATGTAGAAAATTGATGAAGTTGCTGTTTTCCATTTATTGTTTCATGAATGATTGATAATATTTAGTTTTGGAATTTATTTTGATACTTTATAGGAGCAAGCACTAAAGGAGAAATCAATCATTCATAACAGATTTATGAGTATTTGTAGCTTAGAGGAGTAATTTGAAACATACCAGTCATAGGAGGAGTGTTGTACCAATAATTCTCAAGAGGACAACATCCCTCAAAATCATGCACCCTGTCTCGAGAGCAAACACTTGCAAGCATAGCTCTAACAACCCATCTTTCCATACTTTGAAAAGTAGATCGTCACGTAGACACGAGAAGGTAAGAATTTGGTAAAAAATTTTGCTTTTAAAATAATAAAGGATAAACACACAACAACATTAATTACGTTAAACCAAAACTAGTAAAGTATGCCTGTGTATGCGTACAGTTTTAAAATACAAAATTCATTTAAAATATAAGGGTTTAATATACGACACGAAAAACTCACCGACTAAAATCTCAAAGAATCATTTAAAATGTGGAAGATCAGTCAGAGTTGTAACTATAAATCATACTAAGAGTTATAAGAGATCGGACAATTCCTAGGAGTTCATCCAACATAGAATTGTTCCAAGTAAAGCACGCTTAACCATAGAGTTCCTATAATTGAACCATCGAAAAGGAAAGTGTACCTTGTATAGATACTGACTTTCAATTCTTTTAAGTCTTTCTTAGTCACCATATCCTTGGGATTGCTCTCATTTAAATGTGGCCTCTGTTCATCCATGTACCCTCAAACTTAAGTGTCACGCTCGACAATATGGACCATACATTTGTGATCTACAACCTTATTTTTACATATTTGTGATCTTTTATCTTATTTTTTTATGCATGTGTTCTTCTAGATTTATTCCTAAAATATCTAAATCTTTATCTCTAAAATATCTAGTGTCACGACTCGATTTTTTAGAGTTCCTGAAGCACAGAACTTGATTCGAAGACTTGGTAAAATTTCCTACGGTAGCTATCCTAACGGGCAATTGGATGTGTACTTAATTTCTCTACACACGGTCCACACGTTCAAGTATGGACCCACCAGTTGGTTCGTACACCTCCTGCCTCCTTTCTTGTCGGGCAAACATTCTCTAGTAGCTGTTGATGTCGGACACCTGTTAGGAGTAGCGACCGTCACGGCAACATTACGATAAATGTTAAGGATATTTAGTAATAAATTATAGTTTACCATATATATTATATTTGATATTTTATTATAAGGCAAATATCTAACATTTGCCTTATTACTATAGGTATCCTTCCATTTATTGTTATTTCCATTTATTACTATTTCCATATCCTTGTAATTTATTTGATTTATTTGATTATAAATAAGATAATTTTCACACCATTTAGGTGTGGTGGATTCAGCAAACATTCACATGGTATCAGAGCCATTTTGGTTTAGCAACCTAGATCCTTTCTTTTCAATGGCTTTTGAAATCTTCTACTGTTCTTCTCCACCACCACTGTTTTCTTTGATGCCGTAGGGGCAGTCGTCATGGCTGTCACATGCAGAGTCGATTGATTCAATTGATTTCATTTCATTTCTGAATTATTATTATTATTGTCGATTTTGTATTGTTTGAATTCATACTTACCCATCATGACGCGAAAGGGAATGAGGATTGTGTTATTCAGACCTCCACCTTTTTCTTCTGCACCGAGAACGCCGTCGCCTCACACGTCTAGCCCACCTTCATCGGATTCAATCGTGGAGGAGAATCTTGAGGTTGCAAAAACGTTTCTGGCGAGGTGGGGACCTGATTCGACCACTGCTGTTTCTCTGTTTCAAGGGGACGACCGTGATGAAGCTTGGCAGTTTATAGAAGTGGTTAAGAATTTGCATGCTGCTATGCAGTGCCATGCTTCTCAGGATTCATCTTCGGATAAGCTCGTGCGTGCTCATGATTTGATGAGTACTGCCATGGAGAGGCTGCAGAAGGAGTTTTCCCAGATTTTGTCGGTTAATCGTGAGTATTTGTATCCGGAATCGGTTTCTAGAGAATCGTCGATGACGATATCGGCCAGATCGAGTGTTTCTGATTTTGAACTGAAGACAGAAGATGAGTTCGGAATTGCTAAAGAATCTATTTCTGAGGTTGAGCGAGTTTCTATGTCGGCCATGGCGGATTTGAAAGCAATTGCGGACTGTATGATATCCACCGGCTATGGAAAAGAATGTGTCAAGATTTATAAAACTGTGAGGAAATCGGTAATAGGCGAGAGTCTCTACAATCTAGGGATTGAGAAATTGAGTTTTTCGAAAGTTCAGAAGATGGATTGGGATGTTCTACGATTGATTATTCTTCGGCTCCACCTTTTTGACCTCCAAATCATCCTTCGTCATATTCTGTACATACAACCTCACCTTTTCCAAACATAGCCTCTTTCATTTTCTTCCCAATTTTCCCTTCATCCTTCATCCTTCACAAAAACCCTAATCTTAGGATCTTCGTCAGCATTCCTCTTCGAAAATATACAGAATCTCAATAAGCCCATCGACCTTCTGTAGAGATTTACCTTTGGAATCTGGGCGTCGCACTGGCATCTTCGCTAACCAAGTTGCCGCCGCCCTTCTCGCCAAAATTGGCTCCTTCGCCCCAATGTGGCGACTATTCCGGCTTCAACATTGTCTTTGTCCCTTGCTCTAGGTTTCCCCTTCTACTTCTTGGGGTTAGACATATTCTCACCAGAGCCAAGTCAGCATCGTCGCTAAGCGACAATCCCTCTTCATGGGTTAGACATATTCTCACCGAAGCCAAGGCAGCATCGCCGCTGAGCGGCGATCTCTCTGCAGTTTTCGATGGCCAAGAAAGTGTTTCTCTACGCCTCCTCTGAACCAGGTTGTTAACATCTTCACGAAAAGTGTTTCTCAACCTCTTTGAATTTTTCAGATTCAAGCTTCACGTTCGTTTAAATCCGACGCTTAGCTTGCGGTAGGGTGTTAAGGATATTTAGTAATAAATTATAGTTTACCATATATATTATATTTGATATTTTATTATAAGGCAAATATCTAACATTTGCCTTATTACTATAGGTATCTTTCCATTTATTGTTATTTCCATTTATTACTATTTCCATATCCTTGTAATTTATTTGATTTATTTGATTATAAATAAGATAATTTTCACACCATTTAGGTGTGGTGGATTCAGCAAACATTCACAATAAATATAATGATCGTTCTATTGCCTCATAGCGTACGCGTCCGTACAATCGTGAAGGATAAGGGGTATCTCCCAATGCATGAGCACACAATAATGCATGAGGTCCCAACATTTTTTCTATTTTCATTATCATTTAATACAATTCCGCTAGCGTCTTCCTTCATATCATATTATTTTTTCATATCATTTCTTATATTCTTTATAATATCTTTAATGTGTATACTGGGATTATATTTCATGCTAGTTCGACGTTTTTCATGTCAATCATATCATATCATTCATATTACATACATATGTCATATCATAACGTTTTCATGCTTTCAGACATGACAACTCTCTTCATGTACATATCTTACCATATCATTTATCACAATAGTCATATGACATAACCCCTGTATGCCTTCCACATATCACACCATAACATATTGTATCACAATATCACATATATCGTACCATAACATATATCATATCACAACATATATATAATCGTCATTCACATATCATGTTATAATAATATTATTTCGTAAACACTTCATAGTCATATCGTTCCATATGCATATCTGTTAAGAATGAGAAATAGAAATAGAATTGGAATCCAAGGTGTTGTATTCTCATTGATATTCATAAGCTTAAATAGGATACAAGCTAGCAACTAATGTCTACAAATGAGAAAAATATAAACTAATTAAATATTGAGAATAAAATAAAATATACTATAAATCAAATCATAAATAAAGAATATTAAGATATAATATCTAAGATATATTTCATAAATAATATATACTCTAAATATTATATCTCATTACTCCCCTAAGTTGGAGAGTGTATGTTAATCACACAACCTATCTTTCAAAAAATCAAATTGATGTCTTCCCAAAGCTTTAGTGAAAGTATTTGTCAATTGCATTTTAGTCGAAACATAACACGGTTTGATGATTCCAGCTTGTAATTTTTCTCGAACTATATGACAATCTATTTCAATGTGTTTCGTAAGTTCATGAAAAACTGGATTGGCTACTATGTGTAATGCTGCTTGATTATCACAGTACAATAATGTTGGTTCGGACAGTGGAACTTTCAAGTCTTGGAGAATGTATCTTAACTAAGTTAACTCTAAATAAGTATTTGTCATAGCTCGATACTCTGCTTCTGCTAATGATCTGGACACATTAGTTTGTTTTTTAGACTTCCAAGAAATAATTGAATTTCCAAGGAAAATGCAGAACCCAGAAATAGACCGTTTGGAAGATCACCCCAGTCTGAATCGCAATATGCTTGTAATCTTAAGTTATTTTCATATGGTAGTAGAAGTCCTCGACCAGGAGTACCTTTGATGTATCTTATAACTCGAAGAGCTGCCTCCCAATGTGGTTTTCTTGGTTCATGCATAAATTGACTAAGCATACGAACTGAATACACTATGTCAGGCTTAGTAACAGTTAAATATATTAATCTGCCAACTAATCATCTGTATTTATTTGGATCATTCAACTTTTCTACTTCTGTTAAAGAAAGTTTCAGATTTTGCTCCATAGGAAATTTTTCCGGACGTGCTCCTGTAAGACCTATGTCTTGAAGAATGTTGAGAGCATACTTCCTTTGAGAATAAAGATTCCTTTTCTAGACCTAGAAAATTCAATACCTAGGAAATATTTCAAATTCCCTAAATCTTTGATAAGAAATTTCTCGAGTAAACTAGTCTTGAGATGTTGAATTTCTTTGAGATCATTGCATGTCAACAGAATATTATCAACATAGATAAGAGCTACAGTGAAATAAGTATCTTTACTCTTAGTAAATAAAGAGTAATCTGATTTGAACTGAGTGTAGCCTACATTTTGTATAGTAGTAGAGAATATGGAAAACCAATTGCGAGAAGCCTATTTTAAACCATAAAGAGATTTATGGAGCCGACATATTGTATTCTTCCCCTGTCGGCAAATACCTGGTGGTAAAGACATAGACTTCCTCATCTAGATTACCATGGAGAAAGACATTGTGAACATCCAACTGATGAGTGAATCATTTTCGAGCAGCGGCAATAGTGAGTAAGCAACGAAGTGTAGTAAGTTTCGTTGTAGGAGAAAATGTCACTTTGTAATCAACACCTTCAACTTGAGTGTATCTTTTTGCTACCAGTTGAGCTTTATAACGTTCAACAGAACCATCAAAGTTGTGTTTAATCTTGTACACAATGACAACTAATAGCTTTATGGCCAGGTGGTAGAGGAACGAGAGACCAAGTATGATCACGTTCCAAAGCTGGAATTTCATCATTCATAGTCTACTGCCATAATGGGTTGCCAACTGTCTCATCATAGGTTTTAGGTTATGTCTGGGCTGTAATAAGAGCTAGAAAAGCACGTAGAGTAGGAGAAAAATGAGAGAATGAAAGCTAATGATGAAGAGGATACCTGGTGCCAGTGTTAGGATTTGAGCTAGAGGTTAAATGATTGGCTCCAGAAGACATCTCATAATCATTATAACAAGCTAGAGGTTGTTTGGTACGAGTAGAACGTCGAAGTGGAACTGATGTATCAGGTGGGATAAGATTAGATTTAGTGGGTAAATCCGGTGAATCTGAAACTGATGAATTTGGAGAAGGAATAGAAGGCGGAGGAGACGACGAAGGAATAGATGGATTAGAATGGATGTTTGAGTAGGATGGATCATGAAATGGTAAAATGGGAGTTGAAGGAGCTAATGTCAAAGTTTGTGAAGCTGATGAAAAAGGAAAATCATCTTCACAAAATTTAACATCACGACTGAGAAAGAATTTTTTAGATTGCATGTCATACAACTTGTAACCTTTGTGACCACGAGGAGATCCTGTGAAAACACAAGGAATTGCCCAATGTTCAAATTTTTGCTTAGGTACTACAATTGCATTACACTTACAACAAAAAACTTTAAGATGGTGAAATGTAGGTGGTCATTTGTAGAGTGCTTCAGAGGGTGTCTTGTTAGATAACAATGTTGATGGTGTTCTATTTATAAGATAAACCACCGTTAAAATGTATTCTCCCCAAAAATTAAGTGGAACCTGTGATTGAAAAAGAAGAGACCTAGCTACATTTAGGATATGACGATGCTTACGTTCTACGACTCCATTTTGTTGTGGAGTATAGACACGAGTGCGCTGAAATTCAATGCCACAAGAAGTAAAAAATAGTTGCAAAGATAGGAACTCAATCTCATTGTCTGATCTAACTATCTTGATAGCAGTATAAAATTGAGTTTGAACGAATTTAACAAAGGTTACTAACAAATGATATACTTCTGATTTGTGTTTCATAAGAAAAACCCAAGTACATCGAGTAAAATCATCAATAACAGTGAGAAAAAAAATGCAAACCAGAATGGATTGGAATTTTATGTGGTCTCCAAACATCACAATGTAACAATCAAAGGCAGAATGAGTTGTTATTGAACTTCTTAGGAAAGACAACCTAGTTTGTTTTGCTAATGGACAAATACTACAATGATGAGAAAGAGTAGCATTATTAAGATGCAAATGATCAGCTAGAAATTTAAAACGAGAAAAAGGATGACCTAAGCGTAAATGCCACAAATCAGATGAATGAGATACTTGATTTGCTGAAGATTTGATTGGAGATGAAGAAATATGACAGACATCTCCGAATTGTTTACCCGAGCCAATCATCTTCCCCGTAAACAAGTTCTGCTTAACACAAGAATCGGGATAGAAGGTGACAACATTTCAAGCTATTGGTAAGTTTGTTGATGGACATTACGTTTAAATTGAATGAAGGCACACATAAAATATTGTTTAATTTAAGGTTAGGATTAAAGGAAACATTGCCAGTATGTGACACATGTGTTGTCCCTCCATATTAGGCAAATTTATTGTATATATGGTGGTAGCCTTTGGTTCAGTCATAACAGAAGCTTTGGATACTATATGATTCGTAGCTCCACTATCGAGAATCCATGGATTATAACTTGCAGATTTAATAGATAATACAGATACTAGAAACAAACCTGCAACATTAATGTTATTATCATAATTACCAAAAGGACGATGATTGAGTGCAGATAAGGCTTGTAGAATCTGTTGTAATTGCTCAGAAGAAAATTTTGGGATGGAATTAGGTGACTGTTCTTCTTGTTCTGTATTCAACTGAGAAACATCGGCCATATTTGCAGATGATCGATATCCTCGATTGTTGCGTTGATGGATTTGTACTACCCTTCTAGAATTATTTTTCTGTTGACATTGATCTTCTGTATGTCCCCTTCTATCACAAAATTTACAGTGAAACTTAAGGATTCAACACTCATCAATTGTATGGTCACTTTTATTGCAGTGTTCACATGATTTATCCTTGGCGAATTTTGAATATGTTGTTTTCTTCTGCACTACTGATGCAATTGAGAAATTCTTAGTAGGTTCAGAAGTTACCTGACTCTGCATCTCTTCGTGTATAGGTAATGAATAGGCTTGCCTCACATTAGGTAATGGAGTCATCATCAATATGTTAGATCTTACCGTTTTATAAGACTCATTGAGCCCCATGAGTAGTTGCACAACTTGTCTTCTTCGCATTGATTAACACGTATTTGACGTTGATTACAGGTAAATGGTGTGTGGTACGCTTCCAATTCACCCCAGAGTGCTTTGAGCTTGGTGAAATATGCTGACAGTGTCATGGTTCCCTGTGACATCATTGCTATCGACTCTTGTATCTGAAAAATTGCTGGAGCATTCTTTTGTGAGAATTGATCGTGAAGATCAACTCACACTTGATGAGCTATCTTGGCATGAATAATACCCTCAGCGATATCTGCTTCAACTGAATGAATTAACCAAGTTATTATTGTACAGTTGCACTAATTTCAAAGTTCAAATTTGATTGAATTTGCATCTTGAGACAGTTCTTCAATTGTGCCATCAATGAAGCCAATTTTCTTTTTGGCAATAAGAGCATGCATAATTGATTTATGCCAAGATTTGATAATTTGTTCCATTTAATTTGATTGGAACAAGTGAATATCCTCGCTGACCAGAGCCAGGGATTTGACTGATTCCGCCATAGAGGAACTTTTGATATTTAAGAATACAAAGATCGGTGCTCTGATACCATGTTAAGAATGAGAAATAGAAATAGAATTGGAACCGAAGGTATTGTATTCTCATTAATATTCATAAGCTTACATAGGATACAAGCTATCAACTAATGCCTACCAATGATGAAAATATAAACTAATTAAATATGGAGAATAAAATAAAATATACTATCAATCAAATCATAAATAAATAATATTAAAATATAATATCTAAGATATATTTCATAAATAATATATACTCTAAATATTATATCTCAATAATATCTTAGTCATATCGTTTCCTAAACTTGTCGTAACCTTATCCTTCTTATACATCTCATAATCTTATCATTTCATGAACATATCTTGATCATATCGTTTCCCAAATCTTGAGTACCACCCACAACATGCAGTTGGGATCCACTAAACAACCTCCTTTTCTGCCAACGATAAAATTATATTGGACACCACAAAGGAAGCATCGTGCTTTACCGTTGTGTGTCTAGAGTTGTTGGTCATTATCTTTGTGTGGTGTTTCATTCATCATGGCGTTGGGTCGAAATGCCTCCGTTTCACCTGGGTCGTGTTCGTCAAAAAACAAAAGAAACGAACCTTTCATCTTCCCCGGTTTGCTCTCTATGCTATGTTAATTTCAAAAGACATAGGATTTTAGGTTGTTTGGGGGCATTGAGGAGATGTGGTTTCGTGCATCAGTTAATATTCATAAAATAAATATGGGTATATCATATAAAATTATTGGAAAAAAAAAAACTAAAATAAACGGTGCGGTAAAAGAATCTGTCAAATTTTACCCATTCAATTTGGCAAAAGACTGTCTTTTCAAAGTCAAATTTGTAAAAGTAAAATAAATTAATCAAAGATACTATGATCCATGGCCACAATACATACGAAATAAATTCTAGTGACAAAAATGTCAAACTTTGAACGCAAATGTGAACGAGTTGGTTCAGTTTGGTGATTCGAGTCACCATCCGTTGAGCCAAAAACCATGTCGAGTCCCCATCCTGATCGGAGATGCATGCTAGTTAATGGGTATTGAACCTAACTTTTGTTTCATGATTCGAGTTAACCCATTTTTCGTAAATCTGTGTTAGTAATCTTTCCAATGTTGTGATGATTTAGGTGACAATTCCAACTCAAAAGATGGATCCAAAGTTATAGTTTTTATCAATTTTTGGGGTTCCTCATACTTCGGAGTCACCATCCGTTGAGCCGAAAACCATGTTGAATCACCATCCTAATCGGAGATGCACGCTAGTTAATGAGTATTGAACCTAACTTTTGTTTCATGATTCGAGTTAACCCATTTTACGTAAATCTGGGTTAGTAATCTTTCCAATGTTGTGATCATTTGGGTGACAACTCCAACTCGAAAATGGATCAAAAGCTATGATTTTTATTGATTTTAGATTAGTCATTCAGCCTCAAGAGCTAAATAGTGTTACAAATAACCCGATAATAGACAACAAACTAACTCATTTTGAATTATGAAGCCTCATTAGGTATCATGAGTTACCGACAGCCAAACTCGACTTGATTTTGAAATGAAAACTAGTCTTCTAAAGGTAAACATCATTGCCAAAAGTCAAAACATTCTCATTGTTTATTTATCCCCTTTTCATTTTGAAGAATTTAGAGGCTTATTTGGTATTATTTATTAAGCTTTTTGCCTCCATCTTTCATAGCATTATGTTCATGAAAAGGGTTAAGGTTTTGTGCATAAAAAATATCAAAGTATATGACTTTGTCTTTGTTTGAACTTTATTTCCTCATCTACCTTTCACCCACTTCTAAATTCTTTAGTCTTTAGGGTTTTTTGTAGAAAAAAAATAAAAAGTTTGAATTTTTATTATTCTTATCATTCCTTAGAGATCAAGACATACACCCAAATTAAAATCTAGTTTTGGTCTTCAAATTAAATTTCTATTTTAGTTTGAAAATTGATCTTTTGCATTGAATTGACTTTCGAGCTATCGTCGAAATTGAATGTATTAATAATGAAAAAATACAAATGTAATTTTCATATATATGTGTTAACTCATGCCTATATTAAAGATTTGGCACGCATTTATAATTAGAGGGGTTCGTAGGTTGGGTTGGATTGGGTTGAATTATTTTAAAACCCATCTTAATTCTTCAAGTTGTGAATGCAATTTTTATTAAATAATGAACCAACAAACCAACTCAATCCTAAATTTTTTTTAGATGGGTAGGTTTGAAATTGCTCTGAGCATTCATTCAAATTTTTGTTTTTAATAAAACTAAAATATCAGTCCGTAAAATATTTATTTATTTATTCATTTTCAGACATTCCATTAATATTTGCAATTGAATGTGAAAATTACCTTCTAAATAATAAAATTTATTTTAAAAAGATGGGAAAAATAAATAATAATTAAGTATTATAGATTAAAATTAAAAGTTAGGAAAGAAAGAAAGAAATATTTGAAGGCATCCAACATAAAAATTGAATTCAAACAAACCGAGGTTGTTTTTGAAGTCAATAAAAATTTGGTAATAAAATTGTCATTGAAAAAAATTAATCTATAATTTTATTTTGACTTTTCAAATAGTCAACTAAATTATATATTAAATAAAAAATAAAATAAAACCCATTTCTTTGCAACTTCCCTTTGTTGACGTTCTTTGAATGCTTTGAAATCTTGTCTCGAAACATCCTCATTTAAATATTGATCTCAAAATATCAAACTTTTTTTTTTTTTTTTTGTGTCGGGAAAATAATTATTTATTATATTATTTTATGTTTTTTTCTCCTTTTTTTTTATTTATTTATATTTTAGGTTTTTTTTTTTAATTTAATCTATTATTATTATTCAACCAACTACAAAGGAGTAAATTAATGAGTAAATTTGATATATATATATATTGGTTTTGATCGAACTCTCTTTTTTTCGTCAAATTCTGTCTTACTAAAGAAGACTTCTAACCAACCCACGAAGGCTTGTGAAATTGTATAGGTACAAAGAATGAATCTATCTCTGTGTATGGAAGTTGCTGGTCAGCAGTGGCTCAACTGTTTGAGCGTTTTTCTTTCTACTATTATTAGAGTGGGGTGGTTGGTTCCAATTCAACAATGGTAGAATACCTAGTCGAAAGTCCAATACAATAGTTAGCAGGCGTTTTCGTTTTGGCTCCCGAGCGAGAACGAGAAATGGGCAATTCGACTACAACAATTGTAAAGGTGGAGATCGAACCATCGACCTTTATAATAAATAATTAGTGCATTTTCACTAATTTATATTATTACTTATATCTAGATTGGCTAAGAAAATCTTAAAAGAATCAAAAGTTAAGCGTGTTTTTCTTGGAGTAATCCTATATTGAACAATCCCCTTAATATTCTTTGGAACAATAAATATGTTAAGGTAATGAGTGCCGAATCCAAATTTTAAATCTTGGACTTTGGGCATTACAATTACACTAAGCAACGATGGTTCCATCTTTCGTCTCTATTTCTTAAATTATAATAAATAAGTAGACAGAGACTTTGAAACCGATGGTTGTTTGGACATGAACCTTAAAAAAAACATAAATGTATTTAAGAAGGGGAGAGAAAAGTATATTAATATAAAATGTCACGCATATGATATTAAAGTATTTATTCTTACGAAAGCAAAATTATAATATTCTTGTAAGGCGCAGTTTTAGAGCCTACAGCTAATTTACGCCGTTCGCAGTTTTCCTTTTTTCTTCAACTCTTACGTGTCTCAATACCGTGTTACACGCGCTTTGCCTACGCGACTCGCCACCTCCTTAATTATTTCTTTTATTATTATTTGTTCATTTACGTTTTTATTTTATATGTTGATTCTTATAATTTTAAGTATTCAATAATTTCATTATTTTTAATTATTTTTCTAATAATAACATTTTAAATTTTCTAATTTTGTTTTTTTTAATATTTTAATTTTAAAATTTGTCTAACAAATCTTATTATGATTTGAATTTTACATTTGATAGGCCATTAGCATGCCTAACTGATATAATTATAAGAAATTTTATTAAATTTTTAATTCATATATTAAATAATTTTTTATTAAAAGTTTTCGTACCTTATTAAGAATGTTTGTTTAATCCACACTACTTAAATAGTAATCCACACCACCTAAATAGTAAAGAGTAATAAATAGAAAGATCCTCTGGTAAAAAGACAAATATCTAAATATTTGCTTTATAATAAAATATCTGCTTAATGCTTACTTATTTCTCAAAGGATTGGATTTGGTAATAGCCTCTTTATTTTAGAAATGGTCAACTTTTTTTTTCCCTTTTTGTTTTTGGGCCTAAGTCAAACTTGGTACGTAAGAAATTGGAAGGCTAAATATGAGTGTTGGAGAAGACTTTAAGAGGTGAAGAAATAAGTTAAAGTATTAGCATGAGATTCATTACTTGATTGTTTATAGTTTAGTATTAACATGAGTAAGCCACACATGTGAACTCTCTTCACTCTCATACAATCCAATTATACCAAACATGTTCTTTTCATAACAAAAATTTCAACCCCAAGTATGAACTCTAAATCTTTTGAGTACAATAAGTAAATTTAATCTCCTTAATACATGATTAACGATATTTTATGTGAGATCCCACATTGGTCGGAGAGGAGAACGAAACATTCCTTATAAGGGTGAGGAAGCCTCTCTATAATATACGCGTTTTAAAACTGTGAGACTGATGATGATACAATATCTGTTAGTGGTGGGTTTAGGCTATTACAAATGGTATCAGAGCCAAACATCGGGTGGTGTGCCAGCAAAGACGTTGAGTCCCCTAAAGGGGGTGGGTTTTGAGATCCCACATTGGTTGAAGAGAAGACTAAAGTATTCCTTATAAGGGTGTGGAAACCTCTCCGTAATATACGAGTTTTAAACCGTGAGACGGACGGCGATATGTAACTGGCCAAGGCAGACAATATCTACTAGCGGTGGGCGAAGCATTCTTTATAAGGGTGTGGAAACCTCTCCCTAACAGACACGTTTTAAAATCATGAGACTGACAACGATACATAATGGGCCAAAGCCAATATCTACTAACAGTGGGCTTGGGCTATTACAAATGGTATCAAAGGCAGATATCGGGGATAACTAATTGAAAAATATTTATTCTCGATACTATTGATTATGGGTTTTTCTTTAAGAAATTAATTTGGGTGGATGAATAAATAGTAATGGTGAAGCCAATCCCATGTTCAACTCCCACTTCTTGTGTTGCATATAAAAAAGAGAAGTTTGCACTAAAACATGTTGGCGTATTAGAAAATGATGAAACCCATTCCTTGTTTAATTTATTTTTGGTTGGGTTCATCTCCATTTACTTTGTAATATGCAAACAAAATCATTTCACACTAGACTCAGTGCAATTCCACTCGATTGGTTTTTGTAAGGAAGATCAAACAACAAGATTTTAGGGTTTTTCTTTTTCAATTCTCTATCATGAATTAGGGTTTGAGTTATTGGGTTTTGGGGATATTTTTTGTGGCCAAAAGGAAAAGCTAAGCATCCACACACAAGAAAGCTCTTTTTTCCCACCACTATTTTGTTAGCATATATAAAACATGTCTTTCACAATTGAGATTTGGAAGTGGGATTTTTTCCCACTTATGAAAAGTGTTGTATTTGTTTCAATGGACAATAATCTCATTGTTATTTGACTTATTTTTGTATTTATCCTCAACATTGATGTGATACAATCCAAAATTATACCGTGCACGTAATTTATTTGCATAAAAAGAGAAACTTTTTATTGAACTTTGTCAGTTTCAACCACAACAACATGCCCATTCTACCGTCCAAGCTACATTTCCAAATTGTATATTCCAAAATAGAAGTATGAATTAGGGTTTGAAATTAAAGTTCTATGATCCCGAACTATATAAATTTAATCTAGTGAATCAAACGTCTATCTAGTGCATTAAACGTCTTTCTTTCGATTTTATAATATGAACCATTCAAAACTAAGCTTAACGTGAGACCCCACATTGGTTGGAGAGGAGAATGAAATTTTTTTTTAAGGGTGTGGAAACCTCTCTGTAGCATATGCGTTTTAAAAACCTTGAGAGGAAGCCTGAAAGGGAAAGCCCGAAGATGACAATATCTGCTAACGGTAGGCTTTGGGTGTTACAAATGGTATTAGAGCCAGACACCGGGCGATTTGCGAGTGAGGAGGCTGAGCCACGAAGGGAGGTGGACACAAGGTGGTGTGCCAGCAAGAATGTTAGATCCCGAAGGGGGTGGATTGGGAGATCCTACATCGATTGGGGAAGGGAACGAGTGTCAAAGAAGACGTTGAACCCCGAAGAGAAGTGGATTGTGAGACCCCACATCGGTTTGGGAGGAGAACGAAACATTCTTTATAAGGGTGTGAAAACCTTTCCCTAACAGACGTGTTTTAAAAACCTCGAGACAAAGCCCGAAAGAGAAAGTCCAAAGAGGATATCTGCTATCGATTCACATGAGCTGTTACAATTGGTATTAGAGCTAAACATTGAGCGATGTGCTAACGAGGAGACTGAGCTCCAAAGGGGAGTGGACATGAGGTGGTGTGCCAGCAAGAACATTGGGTCTCAAAAGGGGTGGATTGGAATGTTCTACATTGATTGGAGAAGGTAACGAGTACCAACGAGGACGCTGACCTCGAAGGGAGTGGATTGTGAGACCCCACATCAATTGAGGAAAAGAACAAAACTTTTTTTTATAAACGTGTGGAAACCTCTCTCAAGGCTCAAAGATGACAATATCTTAGGGTTGAGCTATTCGAGCTATTCCGGTAAGTTCAAGAAATGGGTTTCCATGGAGAGGGTGATATTGTTTTGCTTGGTGAGAAATAAATTGACTCTTCACACGTGATTGACAAGCAAATAGAGTTGGACCTCTCTCCTAGATTATCAATTGACTTTAAATTGTTTGTACTATGGATTGAATGTACATTTGAATCACTCAAAAGATATTAAAAAATCAACTCTTTTTATGTTTACCATACTGTGTATCGACTTCTTATTTGTAAGCCATATATTTGGACCTGCCTATGTCACCCAAGCTGACATATGCCACCCTACCAACCTCCTCATTCTTGAATTGTAGGCTTCCAAAATTTTGAATATTCATTGTTGTGTTCACATTTGTCAATTTAATCTAACCAAACATTTATCTTCCACTTCGTTTTTTTTTTCCTTATCGAAATTTGTATGTTCGGTAAGTGCATACGATTGACAAAAGAAATTAGAGATTCAAATCTCTCATAACAAAAAAGCTATCGAACACAATTTTAAAAATCGATCTTACTTCTAATAATCGTACAAATCTAAACCTTAAATCAAGCTTAAAAATAGTATAAAGAATTCAATGAAGATTATGATTAGGATTACAACGATGGGAATGGAGCAGTGAGTCAGTTTCTTTCAAACAGTGAAAAAAAAAAAAGGAGCAAATGAGTCGTTTTCATTCGAGCCAGGAAGAAAAGCGAAGAAGAAGGAGCAACATGGTGAAGAAAAAAAGGTTTAAATGGGCGTGACCAAATCCAAATGAAAAGATGTCCAAAATTCGGATTTCAGATGCGTCGATTGTGTGCTCCATACGAATACGATTTTTTCTTCAAGAGTGATAACTATCCCTACAAACAAACATGATTTTTTTTTAGCTTGTTTGGTTCTCACTCACATGCATCCTAGAAAAATTAGGAATATGTCACCCAACATAAAATTGTTCTAAGAAAAACATTATAATTGAACCACCAAAAAGGAAGGGAGGACTTTGTTGGTATAAGTAGTGACTTTCAATTCTTAAGTCTAGTCATCATATCTTCAAGATCGTCCCATTCAAATAAAAATAAAATCTAAATAAACTTTCATCAAAAATTTTTTTTTTTTTTCTCTCTCTCCTTTGTATTATTACTTTTTAGGGAAGAAAATTAATAGCCTTGAGGTTGTTGGATTTTTATTGATCCCACCAATATGTGAAGTAATAATAATTTTAAAAAAAAATTAATTAATAAAAAGAGGAAAAGACGGTTTTACCCTCAGACACGGTTTAACAGTTGCCTTTGAGGAATCCTCTTCTACTTTCTTCGTAATCTGAATGAAACAGTCAGCTTTTTATTTTATTTTATATAATATAATAAATATTATTATTATTTTTGTTTTCAATGGCACACTTCGTAATTTCTTCATAAATCAAGGCTATTTCCCAAACCTTCCGCTATAAAAGCTCCTCCTCCGTTTTCCTTCACCTTCATTTCCGTCGTCCAACGCGGTGTCTCTACTTCACAACGCCGCCGCTCTCTCTCTCTCTCTCTAAAGACCATGCAAATAATAAATTCTACAATCCCGGCCCAAAATCTCTCCCGGTTTCAGGTCCGCCGGTCGAGTTTCAAGTACCAAATGTCGCCGTTGAACCCGTCGGCGGCGAAGATTTCTTATTTCAGACCGGCGACGGCGGCGGTTGATGGGACTCGCCGACACCTAGCGAACCTGGACAAGTTGCTGAAAAAAACCGATACGCCTGCCAAGGTCGAACCGGAACCGGTTTTCAAAGACCCGAACAAGGGATCGGTGATGCCCATCAAAGGAAAGGGGCTTTTAGAAGGGCTGAACCTGGCAAGAATCTGGCCGGAGATGAGAGCCGCAGAGGACATGTCGCCGAGAAACCTGAACCGGCTGCAGCGGCTGCTCTCGAAAACGGTTGAGTATTCACCAAGAAACGCCCTCGGCCGGCGATGGCGCGAGTACCACGGTTGCAACGACTGGTCCGGTTTACTCGACCCGCTTGACGAAAATCTCCGCCGTGAAGTCGTCCGGTACGGCGAGTTTGTACAATCAGCATACCATTCATTCCACTCAAACCCCGCCATGTCACTCAATGAGGCCCCACTCCCTCGACACGTGGCACTTCCAGATAAATCCTACAAAGTCACTAAGAGTCTCTACGCCACGTCATCCGTCGGCTTACCTGGCTGGGTCGATGAGGTCGCTCCTGATCTTGGCTGGATGACTCAACGGTCAAGCTGGATGGGATACGTGGCAGTTTGCGATGACCGCCGTGAAATTGCTCGTATGGGGCGGCGGGATATCGTCATCGCCCTCCGTGGCACCGCCACGTGTCTCGAATGGGCCGAAAATGTTAGAGCTCAACTCACCAACATCCCAACCGACACCAATTCCAGTGACCCGAAAGTCGAGTGTGGGTTTCTCAGCCTATATAAAACCGCAGGAGCACATGTGAAGAGCTTATCGGAGTCGGTGGTGGAGGAGATCCGGCGACTGATGGAAATTTACAAAGGAGAAACACTAAGCATCTCTGTTACCGGACACAGCCTAGGTGCAGCGTTGGCACTCCTAGTGGCAGACGAGATTAGTGTTTGTTCACCGACAGTTCCACCGGTGGCGGTGTTCTCATTCGGCGGACCACGAGTTGGGAACACAGCATTTGCAAATCGAATAACATCACGAAACGTAAAGGTATTGAGAATTGTGAACTCTCAAGATCTAATAACGCAAGTCCCGCCGGTAACATACTCCCACGTCGGGACAGAGCTTCGAGTGGAGACGAAGATGTCACCCTACTTGAAGCCAAACGCCGACGTAGCATGCTGCCATGATTTGGAAGCGTATTTACATCTGGTGGACGGGTTCTTGTCGTCAAAATGTCCATTTCGAGCGAACGCGAAACGAAGCTTAGTTCGATTGGTGCATGATCAAAGGGGAAACATGAAGAAATTGTATATGAGGAAGGTGAAGGATTTGAGCCTCAATCCGGAGTTGCAGATGCTCGGGTGTTTACCGAGTCCCTCGTGATTTGATCGGATTATACTTTTTATTTATTTATTTATTTTTGTGAAGGTGGAGATTTAAAATCTTTTGCCTCATTACAATCTTATGTACATGATGTTAAATGAATTGTCTATGCTTTATGTAACTTTCAAGAAGCTGGCAATATTGTGGTGTCAATATCATGTTTGTTTTGAATTTAATGTGCATTGTGGATATCCTATTGTTATACAAGTGGTAACAAATTATAAAACTTTATACTAAACAAATATTAGAACAAATATTAGATCATGTATACGTGTATATTTATGTAGATATGAAATTTAAAGGACTATAAGGTAAAGTTTTAGTACATTATTATTATTTTTTAGAAAAAAAAGATTGTAGTCGTTCTATGATTGGATAGACATTAAGTATGCACGTAGACCCACTATAAATGCATCATTCGAGACAAGATAACAAGTGCATTATAAGCAACATGGATTGTTTTATACATTGATACCAAAATAATGATTAGCAACCAAAAGCGGTTGTATTTAGGTTATCGTATTCTTAAATTTGACATTTTAATCTTCCAGGTTTGAGTTTTTTTTTTTTCTTTTTTTTTTTTTTTTTTTTTTTTTTTTTTTTTTTT